TCCTTATTGCCTAACCATCGCAAGCATCATGTTCATCAGCTGTTCATATTGCAGACAAACGGACTTACGAATCAGTTTCATAAGAATTCGATCGCTGAATAGTTGATAAGCTCGATGAAGGTTATCGCTACAAAATTGAATTGTACCTTGGGTGGAAAGTATGTAACAGCAGAATTCGGCAGAGAAATCGTAGAAACGTTTTAGATTTTCAGCGGTTATCGAAAGAAGTTGAGAAAAACGATGCCATTTTGAAAGTTACTTTTCAGTCATAGCCAGTCATTTATAATGGGGCTAAATCCTTGGCCAGGTGTTTTGGTGCTGTTCCATAATTTTCTGCACGAATACATTTAATGTATATTTTTAGTCAATTTCCAACTCTGACGCCCAAGCAATGATCACGACTTTTGGTTCACTGAAGAACATTGCCCAAGCATCGGTCGAGGAGTTAGCATTATGCCCCGGAATGGGACTGAAAAAGGCCAAGAAATTGTACGAGGCTATGAATCGTGAATTTTGTGCTCAGCGTGATGATGTTACTGGAGACGGAGACCCTGCTCCAGTAGACATGTTTGCGGATGATGCTCAGGAATGAACACTTCCTGCGTTGTTTTTGTTTTATTTATTTTTTGTTGTTTTTTGTTGTTTTCTTTTATGGTTCTTTCATCTGAGTAAACTTTCATTATATGCTGTTGTTACACACTTGATTGAGGATTGCTACGCTTTGTTCGATCTCTTCTGCCGTTTCCGTAGCTGATGCACTTTCGTTCGTTAGTTGAAGTTTGGCTGATGTAGAATTTTGCAATCTCTAACTGAGAGAAACATACGACTTTTTTGGTAGGGCAGATGAGCAATGAAGCCACTTCCATCGCAGTTTTTGGACTTGTCTCATGTAAGTATTGGTTTCTCTTTGTATTCTGAATTTTTTTTAGTAAATCAGGATTTAAACATTTGATGATGCTCAGCAATAGAAGGAAAGGAAGGGAGAAAACGAATTTGCGACCTTTAGAATGCTCGTCTTCCTTACACTTTCATGGTTGAGCCATTTCAGGCGCTCTTCTTTCAAGAAGCTGATGGTTTGGTGCTACGCTCTGTTTTAATGCCGTTAGCTAGGAATGCATTATTTGTTAAAGGTAGAGTCGATAGCAACTATATGGCACACATAATATGTAGTCCTTTCTGTTTCCTTCCCACAAACTTGTAATGATTTATCAACCTTAGAGGAAGGAGAGGCGATAACCCTCCGGGGATTCGAACCCATGACCTCTCGGTTCTGAATATGACGCTCTACCGACTGAACAACTTCTTTCAGTAAATTATTATAAAGACCAGTCATGGGCTGCAATTGGGGGGGGGGCTTGTATGCGCATGCTAATGCCATATCGCTACTTTATTCGTTATAAACGTCGCATATCTTTCATAGAATGTTTGCTTAGGGCTTAGGTATAATCAAGTTGCCCGACGTGTGCTTCGAAAGCGACCCGTGGCTGACCATGTTAAGAGAACTAAAGCCCAGTTCAGATGCGTTGAAGAACATCTCGTCGGTAAAAACTAAAGTAAATACTTGTTTTTGCTTTTGCATATTTTGTGAAAGTTGTGCTGATTGAGTGACAGTGGTTGAAATAAGTTTTCTAAGCAGAGTTTTTTTTCTGATACAATGGCCCTAGGCACAGAGATGATACATCGCCGGAATGCGTTTATTTTAAATAGTTAGGGTTTAATTGGAAATGGACATTGGAAATGGAAGTCTTATTTCATCTTATCTTTATTTAGTACAAAATTTGGGAATAAGTAGAAGGGAATGGGATGCTCAGATCAGTCGGGAGAACGACAGTAAATTGGGAAATGGATTAAAAAGGTGTGGCTCAAATGGGGAGATGAGAAGTGTGCTATGCGAAAAGAATGCTCATTAAACTAAATGGAATGGTTACAGAATGACAGAAAGACCAGTCCTTCTAAAAGGAGTAGAATGTTTAACTGCCCTGAAGATACATGAGCAGCACATGAACTCCATGCAAATGGAATGCTCAGAGAATTTGTAGTGGTGTCAGCGAAATGAGGGAAAAAAATGGAGAGTCTGTCGCTGCTGGAATTTTGGTCTTTCTTCACTTGCATGATTACACCCTTTTGACGTCTTTGTTTTCATGAAATTGATGGTGTGGTCCTGATTTCCGTTTCTGTGCCATCAGCGAAGAGTGTCTTATTTTTTAACGCAGAGTCTAATATCATTTATCAATTTCGGAAGGAAGAAGGGCGAGTGACCTTGACCGGTGCTTTAACTTGGGCCTATCGGTTGAGCAAGCCCCAGTGTAAGACAGTGCGCGGTAATTCTTTGTTGAAGGGAATTTATGAATATGACAAAATTGCTCTCGAGTGGAATCGAATCGTGCATCTCAAAAGTTGGAAACAGATCTGTTAGACATTATGCCAACACGCCAGCAGAAACGACTGTCTCCGGAATACCTTAACTTCAATTCAGGCGCTTTAGCTGTAACGCAAATTTCAGAAAAGCTATTCGAGAGCAGGCTCTGTTGATGAAGCAACATGAAAGGAAGATCTGACGAGTTAGTTTAACTTGAGGTCCAAACACTGATGCTGCCAAGGAAGAATAATACAGAAAAGACCAAGTAAAGGTGAAGCAGTGTGGTAAAGGATGATTGATTGATGATTATGAAATTGCGTGGAATGACCGAAGATTTGAATGGAGACAGTTGTCTCGAAAAAGGGTTCCTGTTAATGGAAACACGTTTGTAAACAGAAGACGAAGAAGAATAAATTTCGACATAAATATGTTATTCATCATATTTGTGAACTAAGTTATAAATATTATAAGATAGGATTCAGTTTGCGGGCAAAAAAGTAGTCCACGTAATAATGGAAGAAGTTTGCAGTTCATAGAGCGAAATAAGTATGATATGCAGGTAATGTGCGGGTGTTTGTACGTGAGAGGCGAGCCTTTCGGTTCAAGATAGATTTTTTAAGAAAAAAAATCAGTTGAGATGTAATTATCGCTGCGATCAATTTCTTTCTTGATTCGCGGTTCGAGGCAACAGATTATTAAGTATATGTTTGTTTCCTGTGTTTACCAGTGAGTTTCGACAGCTCACGGTTTCGTCATCACCCAGTTCAAATACGAATGAAATCGAACCATTTCAAGAGAATACTGTTCCGTGACGTGGCGATATCTAAACCATCGCAGAGCTAGACAAAGAACTTGAGGAATCTCTGGAAACTTTGGAAAGTTGGAAAACGGGTCATAACAGTATCGTTTCGCAAGCGTTATGTTTGCTAGGCCCTTAGTCTGACGAAAGTCATTTATGTGAACAGAGAACGATGAAACATCAGGCTATTAATCGAAGGATCATGGAACATCTTGACGAACATGTGAATTGATTGTGGCAGGTTGTTTAATTTAAGTAACGGCGTTTTTGCTAATGAAACAATGGATCCTCTCATTCAAATTCCGGCGTGGCTTTTTTTCTTGATTTCGGCATGTCTTTTGTTTATTTTTTATCCCGATGCGTTATCAGTCTCAGAACCTCGAAGATAATGTCTCAAAGTTTTTGATTCAATTCGGAGAGGTGCCTTGTTGAAAGTCGATGAAGTGTGTGGAATGCCATTGACGACTGTTTGCGTTATTAGAATGATCTAGATCTTGCATCAAGTGCAGTGCAGATTCTTTCGGAATAAGCTAGGGAGTGTGGTAAAG